TCAAAAGCTTTTTTTTTTTTTTTTTTTTTTTTTGTAGTTGTGTGGTGATGCAGTTGCATGCAGGGATACTTGGTATTGTGAAGAAGAAAAACGCCAGAGTGAGAGTCAGTTGCTGAGCAGCAGTGTTTGTAAGAAAATGTCCTGAGTCTATCTCAGTCTTTGCTCAACTGTGAAATTTCAATCAAATACAGCGTCTCAGTCCAAACCCTCTGTTCAGAAGTATGTTGTTTTCATACTGTGGTAATAATAATGGTGGACAACTCAGAAAATCAAATATAACAACATATACATGCTTTCGAGTTAGGGTTAATATAAAAAGTGATATGCTTTGGATAATGGTCTGCAACTGTGAAGAAGGGCTGCACCTGATTATTAATATTATTTCTACTATCTTACTCTACCTCTATCATTACTTTAATGAAAGTAAGTAAATTACTAATCATGTTTGATCTATAAAATATTACAAAGTAGTGAAAATTTTAATTTCTAACCAGAGCCCATGATACTACAAAAAGGTTCTGCTGTTCCACCAGTCCACAGCCCACACTGTATATACACAAGGCACTGTCATTAGAAATGCTGTGTGACTAAGGTCGTCTGGCACCTCTGTATGTTTGTGAACATCTGGTGCTGCTGCCTGGTGTTACACTAAGCTTTATGGCAGCCTGCGCTCTGCTGGTAAGAATCTATGTACAATACATCATTGGCAATGCTGCATGCGTCGCTTTAACATCGATGGATCCCTGTGGAATAGCAGGCAAGATAACAGCAGGAATCTGAAATAGCAGGGAGCCTCCTCACCTCCAGACACAGAGAACAAAGACGAGCCCACGGTACATATCTGCTGTGGTTAGATGGGAGGTGGATGGCAGGACTCTGTGGTAGCATCGGCCATCTTCTTTGTAGTGGTCAGCAGTATTTCAACTGCTGACAGGAGGAGGCTGGATAGACTGATTAGGAGGGCCAGCTCGGTCCTGGGATATACCACTTGAATTGTGATAGTGGTGGAAGTTGATCATGGATCGTAATGGTGGATCCTGATCGTGGATGGTGGTGATGGATTGTGATCGTGGTGGCACCTGATCATGGACAATGATTATGACAAGCCTACTCACATATTCTACCATTACTGACAATAACTCCATTTCAATTGTCATTGCTGCTCCCTTCATCTTTAACAGACAATTTCTTATGTATAAATTCTTTAAACATTGAAAACAGTTTCTTCTAATCAATGTTGTAAATTCAATCATTTTATTGATGGGTTCTGCTACAAGCGGCATCTACTGCACTTCTGTCGTCCTGGGAGAGGGATCCCTCACATGTGGCTTTCTATGTTCTTTCCCCCGTTAAATGGGGGTTTTTTTTCTCTTGTTGAGGGTGAAGAACAGAGGATGTCACACCGTGTTAATCCCTATGAGACAAGATATAATTTGTGAATATGGGCTTTCCAAATAAAATACGACTGATTGATTATTTAACTTGTTTGCCTTAATTTTAGATTTGGTAGTATACCATTTGTTGTCTTTGAAATGCTATTGATTTATTTTGCATGTTGTCTCTGATGTTTTGTATTCTTGTTTTTACTTGTTTTGAGAAGCACTATACAAATTAAGTTATTGTAATAATAAGTATTACTATATTATATATCCACCTGTGGCATTAGGGTTGCACAATATAATGATACCAGAGACATTTTAAATCAAATTCTTCGATGTCTTTGAGCGTGATAGACAGTGGTGAGCTATGTTGGTGGCAATAATAGATTATTTTGAAAGATTTTTAAATCAATGTCAATCAAGAACCACATTGATTACTTAGGCTTTTATTTCACTGGATCAGACATAAAGCATTATGTTCTGGTTTCTAGAAATGGCTTCTTATGTCACTTCTCAGAAAACAGAATATGATACAGACTAGCAGTGCTAAATATCATGACAGAGGATTTTGGCCCGTTCACCAAACCCTCTATACTGTAAATATTGTCACTGTTGGGCAGAAACCGTTTATATGTCCAAAACCACTACTTTTCAGGAAATATGAAAACTATCCTGTGTTTTAAAAAGCTGAACATGACTAGATTGCCAAATAGGATATTAACTGTTAATGATGAAAAAACTAAAATGAATATAAGAATAGTAGAAAGGCCATGAGCTCTTGAAGGTACACAGTGGACACAATAAACCTACATAATGAAAAAAAAGATTGAGATTTAATGTAATTAGATCATGAAATCAAGTCAAGTCCAAAGCTCCTACTGGTTTCATTTTTTAAATTCCTGGAGCTTAAATCTCAGAGCAGTGGATGTGACTCTGCAGCACAATATTCTCTCACATTTCTCTCCATGTGAAGCAGAGCAGATCATCTGATGCTTTGCACCACTAGAAGAGCAGATAACTCACAACACTACAAAGGATCTTTGTCCACCCACTTCACTGTACTTCTCTGGTCCTTCTACTCATTACTACACAATTGTCAAGGTCTCATGGTAGAAACAAATCTAATAAACCAACAAAGAAGCAAAGAGACAGGATTGAAAACATAACTTCCTTAGCAGAGGTGATAAATAATGGACAGAGGCTTATTCTTTCTTGTGATTTTCTCTCAAATATAAATCCCTGTCGTCCTCTTACTCAGCAGCTGTACAAGCAGCACATCCCACATGCTGCAATCTCTCCTTTCAATCTCAGCTTAGTCTCCTGAAATATTAATGCACGTGTGATACTTGAGGATGACCCGTGTTCATTTGCTCCCTTTTCTTGGGAGAGAAAATAGACCAGTGAAAATCTGTTGGATTTCACCTTTGTCCATCACTGACACATGAAAGAGTTGTTGCTATAATCCACAGATGGAGGAATCCGATTAAAATGGAGTAAAATCACAGATACCTGACTCAATTAAATATCTGCAGACGATTGTGTAAAGTGAATTTAGACATGACACTCCTCGGCGTCCATTAAAATCCTTAGATGTCTCTGTGTATGGAAGCCAAACAGAATGGAGCCCCTTATAATTATCGAACAACACTAATTGCCACCATCCCTGCCATTTATCCTCAGATGTGATGAGCCGTGTGTGCATGGACACATTAGCCTGATGACTCTCTGCATCCTCATTTAAATACCTAAATAGAATTTTCAATAAGCTACAAAGACTTAGACATTTATTCTTCAGTGTGCCGCCACACAAGAGCAACTTGAATGTCAAAAACCACATTAAAAATCTGTCAGCTGAAAGGCCTATTCTTCTCATCATACTCTGGAGATCTATTTCGTTGATTTAGTTTTGTCTCTTTCATCATGTTTGTCTTATTTTTGGGCCTCTCTCACCCAGGATAACAGCACATAGAGGGAAAGCAGATGATAATCCAAATTCAATGTGCAATAATTCAGTCCCTTATTATTGCAGTAGCTGGGTGGCTGTGGAGGCTCAGGAGTTAGAGAGGGTGAGCCACTAACAGTCAGTGGTTTGTTCCCCAGTTCCTCCAGTCTGCATTCATAGACAACAACTGCCTTCACCCTGCAAGATTTCCCTCACACATAGTCAGTGCGGTGGTTAGCCTCACTGTGTTGCCTCACAGCAAGAAGGTTCTAGGTTTGAATCCTGGTTCAACCGGGGTCTTTTCTCTAAGTACTCCAGCTTCTTCCAAAAGTCCAAAGACATGTAGGTGTGAATGTGAGAGTAAATGGTTAATTGTCTCTGTGATGGTCTGACTGCGTATTCAGAGTTTACCCCGCCTTTCACCCAACGTCAGCTGAGATTGGCTCTGGCTCCCCCTGCAACCCTCTAGGATACGTTGGATGGATATTGGATGGATACCCAGACAGGCAGTGATGTGGCACTTCTGGCTTTCCTGTGGCCCTGACAAAATGGATGGTAAACATGCTGTGCTCTAGATTAAGTGTAATTCAGATAGGAACCTGAAGTGGCCCATGTGGTAAATGGTGAATATGGCCCAAATAGCACAAAACAAATTTGGACCACCTTTGGTTGACATCCGGTATCACAATGGCTAACTTCTGGCAAACAGGAGCAGGCGCCATCATTCCACGTATGTGTATGCAACAGCGTTGCAGTGTGACAGTCACCACACAACAATGGTTTGGAAAGATGTGCCAAGGTTCAGATATATTTGTCCAATAGCTCAACATGAAGAGTAATGTTTGAGGCCACTGTGACAAAATCCACTTTTTTACAAGAACAGCTCAGATGAACATGTTAACTTCTGTGCAGCTCTACAGCCTGGTATCTTGACGTATCCTGTATTGATATCTGCTTACGACATCATCCGTCTCCAGAAATCACTTCATCCCAGCACCCTGCAAGATCTCCCTCACACACAGTCAGGTGCAAGTGCTATGACCTCAGTTTACCTCAGGAATATCTTAAATATCATTAAAACCCGTCTTTGTCTGTGATACAAACCTTCAGTTTAAATCAGCATGAATTCAACAGGTCAACACTTTGCTCAGTTGACCACTGAAGGCTTTGTGCCCATACAAGTCCAACAGAGTCAAGGCGGCGTGGTCCCACAGCCTCTAATGTCCCTTATTTGACATGAGGTCCTCATATTCCAGTTTCATGTGTTTATTAAAGACTCAAAGGAAGCATGAGGAACAATGGGTGTAGTAGCGAGGAGAGGAGCTGTGTGTGTTTTGGGTGTTAAGGTCTGATATGATGCCAAACACATCCTCGTGCTCACCAGCGCTGCGCCACGACGCAGGGAAGCTTCTCAAAGAATCTGACTCAGCCTTCACATAAGAAATCTTTAGAAATGGAGGAACATTACAGGTACATTTTGACGACTCGTGTTCGCTGCAGCGCCCACAACTGTCTGCGCACCCTGCCTCCTTCCTCCCTTCCTTCCCTTCTTCCTCCAGCTCTGTAACTTGATTAAAACGATTGCGCCACGGTCAGCAACAATAACAAACCGCTCCGGTCCACGTTTAAATCAATGCAATGATTCATATGAATTTATAAGAATGTAAAGAATCACTCACCTCAGGAAGCGTCAGTGATCGCTGGCGTCTGGCGATGATGGCGATACCGCTCAGTGTGTGTGTGTATATGTGTGTGTGTGTGTGTGTGTGTGTGTGTGTGTGTGTGTATATGTGTGTGTGTGTGTGTGTGTGTGTGTGTGTGTGTGTGTGTATGTGTGTGTGTGTGTGTGAGTGTGTGTTTTTTGTCCAACACTAAGAAACAAGAGAAACTCCCACCTGCCCAGGGACCGTCTGACAATGACACACCTGCCGAGGGAGCGTCAAATAATTTCAGTGCAATATTTTCATTTATCGTCTCTGATTCTAAAGCATGCAAATTAATGACATCAATTTAATTTGATTTGCATAGCGACAAATCACAACAGGCATCATCTCACTCTACAAAGCAAGGTTTGAGACCTTACAATGATATAGAGAAACTCAAGTGTTCCCAGAACGAGCAAACACGTGGTGACTGTGGAGGGAAAAAAACAACAACTTTAATGGGAAGAAACCTCCAACACGTGCCTCGACCGGTTGGGGTGAGAGGAGAAAAATGGGGAGGGAGAAGAGAGACCCCTGTCAGACTGGTTGTTATAATCAAAATAATAAAAGTGATACATATAGATGCATTTATGATAACAGCACCAGCTAATGGTAGCAGTAGTAGTAGTAGTAGTAGTAGAAATAGTAGTAGTAGTAGTAATAGCAGCTATTCAGTTGTGCGTCATGCGTTTGGTGGATAAAATGATCTGTAATGTTAATTTAAAAAGCTTTGAGAGGTGGAGGCGATGGTAATGGTCTCTGCATGAAGTACAGTTCCTCCGCAGTTGTTCATATTGTTCAATTAAAAATTATTGCCTGATTTTTTTTCTTTCATGTGCAGATGCAAATGTTAATGTTGATGGCTGTGATCTTATTGTTCAGTGTTGTCTTAACTAATGTGAGACACTGAATGATTTGAACTTACTATTTTGTGGTATTTCCTTTTTTGGTTATTGTTCTCTGGACTTTTTGTTGTTGCTGAATATCATTTTGATTTGTCTGAAAGGGATTCATTTCTTTTCTCACTACTTGATATTGCAATTCCTTTTGCCTGCAGACAGCTCCACTCCCATCAATATTCATTTGCATATGCTAAATGACTAAATTAAATTAAGCAATACCCCCCTAAAGTGAAATATTTCAATATAGGCCACAATTCTAGCAACTGCTGATGACCGTGCATGGACCAAGGAAGCACGATGTTTGTGGATATGGTTTCACCTGCGGAGTAATATAACAACAAAACCTAATAAATCCATATGACTGAAATGACAGGACTGAGGCAGGATAGGTAGAATCAGTGAGGATAGATTGCCACCTACAGGAAAACTGTCTCTCCTACAAATATCTACAAATACAAATTAAGCAAAGCTGCTTTTCTGTCTCCTTAACTACACTGACTCAAGTACATGAGGTCCTTGCACTTTCTCTGGATGCTTGCAGTTAATACCACTTTAAACTTTTATTCCACAATTCAAATGGCTGCTTGCTTGCTTCTTTTTACCCAAGTGATGTGAGTGAGTATTTTTTTATATTGCTACTCAAACATAAAGCAAAGGATCTGAATACCCCTTCAAGCAATATCTGCAATGAAATTTTAAAATGTTTAAAACGCAGCAGTGGATCTAAGCTATTTCTAAATCTTGGGTCATAAAGAGCCATCATTTACACAGAGGGGCGATTATATCTTCAACATCCATACTTACATACTCCTGATTCTGTAGACACTTAATTCAATCCTTGCAGCTCAGGGGCCGATCATATTTCAGCTGGGGCCAATGCCCTCCCTAGAAAAAGGATAACAACTCTCTAATTGCAATGAAAGGACAAAATGAAAGCATAATTTAAAGGAAAAAAGAAAGTCAAAGTAGTTAAGTATATATAATATAATATAATCATATATTAATCTAACCTACTTAGTCTAACTAAATTGGTTTTGTGCTGTCACTATTATCATTTCACAGTATGAGGTGTCATCTGCTTTAAAAGGGGACATGTCCATGTATCTAGATAGATGGATAGATGGATAGATGGATAGATGGATAGATACTTTATTGATCTGAGGGGAATGTAGGCATCCAGCAGCAAACACAAAACACAAGAGCATAAGAATAATTCAAAAGAAAAATTAAAATGTAGGTAAACTTAAAAACGAAATGCAGAAAGAAAGAAAGGAGAAAAGACGCATCCAGACCAACAGGCGGCGGTAGACAAAGGAGCAGACGGCAGTTTAAATGATAAAGAGACGTCAGTGTGTCTAAACATCACCTTTCTGTCGGTGCTGCTGTGTGTGAATGAACGTGCCGAGGTCCGCGGTGCTGAACGGACAGCTCCTCTTCCGCTCCTCCGCGCCCTGACGTCCGCAGGTAGGTCGCCCGGTCTCTCCACGCTTCCGTTCGATCACTGCTTCCATCTGCGTGGCCATGGAAATGACATGATTGACGCCATCACTGGCACCGGCTTAATTTATCTCCTGAAGAGAACAGGAGACGGAGAGGAAACGGTCCTCTCTGTCCTCTAGCGAATTAATGGATCCGTTTCCCAGTGTTTTCATTGTAAGGCGCAGAGACTCGGTTTCAGGGTGACTGTAGGTGTTTTTGTTGTGTTAGTGCTGCAGGTCAGGAGATCACATGTGAAGAAGCTGAGATATTCTTGGTATTCTCTGTGGCCCCTGAGAATCCCTAGAGCCACATTTGCTCAGAAATGAGTTTTCCTCCTCCGACTCACATTGTCTGTATTACAATAAGAGATGACACTATAATTATAATCTGCCTAATAGTGTATAACCCTCGGTCAGATGCTCTACCAGGTTCTAAGAGGTTTCCAATCATATCTTTTTATTTCCATAGTGTGAAAATGAAAATAAATACTTTTGAATTGGAATAAAATAAAATAAATGTCTTTTGGTGATAGAGTAAAGGATGATTAAATCAAAATGCATAGATGTCATATTGAAACAGTGTCTGAAGCAAAAGGTTTGAGTGTTTATAGATGAAAAACCTACTTGGAAACCACATATGTAATATATAAAGAGGAAAGTGAGCAAACGTATTGCAGCACTGCACAAAGCAAAGGTCACTTTAGAAGGATGCATCACCTCATATTTTATATTGTTTACTTAGTCTTCCACATTTTCTATTGCACCTGCACGTACGACTTTACAGCAGGCCTGTATTTCTGTGTATATAGTGAAACTGTGGAATTGATGGAGTTTAAAGTACCTACCTCTAACAGTAGTTAAGGTTACTGGTACATGGTATCATTATGCTTACTGTATCCTCTTCACTGTCACACAGATATGTTCACCAGGATGTTAAAACTGAGACTCCTCAACGCTGTAGCACCTGCGTACTTCTTCACAGCTACAGCAGTCACCTTCATTTTGCACTTCTGCTTCTTCATCCCAACGATATTCCCAAACCCCGACACATCACCCTGGGGCTCGACAACTCTCCACACAGTTGTTTTCCTCTTCCTGATGTTCAACGCGCTGGGGAACTACATTATGACTATCAAATATCCTGCTGAAAGTGCCAACGAGACCGGGGTTCCTGTGTGCTCGCCGCACTGCTCTGACAAGGTGGACGCCCACTATCTCCTGAACGGCCGCCACTTCTGCAAACTGTGCAAGAAAGTCATTCTCAAGAGGGATCACCACTGCTTTTTCACCGGGAACTGCATCGGCAACAAAAACATGCGCTACTTCATCATGTTCTGCATCTACACGTCGTGCACGTGTTTGTACTCTCTGGTTCTCGGTGTGGCCTTCCTGACAGTGGAGTACTCCATCTCCTTTGAGAACCCGCTGACATTCCTGACTCTTCTCCTCCTCTCCACGGGCTACTTCTTCATGGGTGAGTATCTTTAAATATCCTGTAAAAGGTGATCATTTCAGATACATGACTCGGTGATGAATCTTTCTCCTCTATTCCTCCTTGCAGGAACCATCTCAGGCTTGCAGCTGTTCGTGGTGCTGATGCTGTACGTGTGGCTGGGCATCGGCCTGGTGTGTGCAGGGTTCTGCTGCCAGCAAGTCCTGCTAGTGGCCCGGGGTCAGACCTGGTGTCAGATGCAGAGAGGGCAGCTCGTGGAGAACCGCAGCCCCTGGAGAACCAACCTAAAGGATGTTTTCGGTACCCGCTGGATCCTCGGCCTCATCCTGCCTGTGCAGACAGTGGAGATGTGCTCCGACGAAACAGACGCACATAAACAGGACTGATGGAAAAACACATATCATATCAACAGCTCACGATAGGTCACACAAGCAGCGCAAGTTGTAGAATAAATGCTTTCTGGGGAGCTATGTGGTTAAGGTCATTTTAAATTCTACATGGATGCTTTATGACTTTTTAAGTAGTCATTGAAATAGTGAGCTTTTAGTAAACATTCCTTTAAGGACAGGAGCCATATAAGCAACATGAAACTGCATAGGTGTATACTATGGATATAGCTTTTTACAAGGCAATATTAAGAAATATAATTTGTTTTTGACATAGATCAGTTTTACATGCACTACTACACGCTTACGTAAGAATTTAAAAATGCATGAATACACTGCTTTGTAAATTTGTATTATGCCACTGATCTGCTCTGAGATTATCAAAGCGTGTTGCTCTTCCACATTTCCTTGTAGGATGCTACAAAGTGACATTCAGGAAACACATTGTTTTTACAACAATAATTCACTTGACCTTAAGGGCTAGCAGACGGAGAAAACGACAGTGGACAAAATAAACTGCGAGGCCACTGTTTCGACAGTTAACTGTTGTATGTTGTTGAGCCTCATGTTTTCTACTCAAAAGAATGTGACTCGGTTTGATGAGGGTACAGTGATGTGATCCTTTTTAAGAATGGCTGGGGGAAATGTGAAGATGATTACCATATTATTATGCAGGGTATTATTCACAATGTGCCATACAATCATGTCTTACATGCTTACCGATGACCCCAAAGATGAGTTATTCACTGAACTGCTAATGATAGAGCCCTCGATAGAACAATAAGTAAGGACTTTTCTCTGTTATACTGCAGCTACAGCTACGGGCATATTCAACATTGTGTCAAGAGATGTTTTGGATTTCAATACTTTCTAGAGCTATTTTGTCTATCCCTGTTAACCAATAAAAGTATTCAAAACGCAACACGCTGCTTTTCTCTTTTTCAAAACTACACATCTAGGAAAGTGCAATAAATGAGTTGAGAGGAATGAGGCAATGGTCTTCAACATAGTTTTATGACATTTCATTATTATTATTAAAGTGACTTTTGCTGAAGAAAAGCACATTTCACAATAACACGACAAACTATGAAAAATAATTTCAAAATAAATTGTAACCCTCAGTTTGCCCTTTGAAAAACCAAGACAAATTCTACGATGTATGCTGAGTAAGTATTGCAACAGTCGGGTTTTGTTGCTAAAAAGAATAATGCAACAGTTGACCTATACTTAACATTCAGAACTGAACCATTTATGACTTTATAATTATCTTACCACTGCAACTCTGACTGTATTGTGCTCCTAGAGCTATGGTTTGTTTTACACTTTCAAAGTGTCACATTCAGTCAAAAGAAACACAGAAATCTAAGCTGCTTACGCATTGATATGATGGACAAACATAAGAATATATAATAGGCACAGGCCTCCAGTTAAACATATATATTCACATTATTTCATCATGACAGAATGCTCATTTTAAGAAACAAGTCCTAACATTTGTCTAAAGATTTTATCATTAATCTTGAAACTAAAGTGCATGAGTTTGTTACTAAATGAAACTAATACAACATTATATCACACTTAAAACTACAGGGGGGATAAGCATGGCAGCAACATATGCAAAATCAAGACAAGTTTAAAGCTACAGCACTTCACTTGCAACAATTTTAGTTCTCGCAAATTTGTACATTCCCGCACATCTTAAGGTCCAGTGTGTAGGATTTATTGACATCTAGTGGTGGAATACCTCTCACCTCACCCTCCCCTTCCAAGCATGAAAGAGAACCTGTGGTGGCCTTCGGTTGTCGTTAAAACTCAAAAGATGTTTAGTTTTTTCTGGGCTACTGCAAAAAAAATAAAACATGACAGCCTCTGTAGAGAGGACCTGCTCCCCATGTCAATATAAAAAGCTCATTCTAGGGAAAATAAAAGCATGATTTCTACAATCTAGATGATTACACACTAGCGAAAACATCGCCAGGATTATTTTATATTCAACAAGGTGCATTAAAGGGCCGTCAGACGTGCTAACGTCCGATAGCTTAGCCACTTCTGGTGGACTTTAAAGTTTAAAATGGTGTAAATTATGAGGTTCACAGTCAAATGTGAATGTCTGGGCTTGCGGACACTTGGGTGACACCATGCGAGCCGTATGGAGGCATGTTATGTTTTTTCTGTCGTTATATTACATCTGAAGCTTTGGTTACCAGTTACTGCACATGTATTGGATTCTGCTCTAACACTGTTTACCCCTGAGACTCCTAAAGTGTTAAGTAGACTCAAACACTTCACCCAGCCCTCCCTTTTATAAATAAAGGGTGCCAATCCCTGATGTCACAGAGTAGCTGTTGGGACTTTGAGGAAGGAACTTGAGTTGGTGGAGTGGTACCAGCTAGATTCTAGACAGGGCTCACCTCGACCCACAGCAGTGGCTCTGGAACCAAACTGAAATCCTTTTACAGAGTTGCCCAGGGTGAGTGTATTGGAGTTCTCCCTGGTGAAAGCTACTGCAAGTCACAAAGAGGAAGGCTCTGACTGTTTGTGCTTATGCAATCGAAAGAAGCTCCAAGTGTCCAGGCTTCTTTGAGTCTGTCGATGAGTTCTTAGGAAAGGCACCACTTGGAGACCCTATAGTTTGTCTCAAGGGAACTTTAAAAATCATGTAGGCAACAAAAGAGGAACCTGGAGGGAGATGACTGGGAAACACAGCCTGAACGAGTTTTGATGTGCCAATAAAGTGCCCAGAACCATTGTGTTGATGTGGGCACTGAGCCAGACGGTAAAGCTTTGATTTACCATTCAATCTATTTTGTGATCCTCACCTATGATGGTTTGATTTAGAGAAGGTAACCAAAAAATGACAATGCAGATACAAGCGGCTGAGATGTTTTTCCTCCGTAGAGTGGCTGCCTTCGGGGAAGATGGGGTAAGGGACTCTGACATCCAGAGTGAGCTTGGAGAGGAGCCACTGCTAGTTCAGGAATACTATTACTATTTACTACAGGTGAATCCAACTGGTCTCCTACCACCACTTGGGGGGCAGATCCACAATAGGTGGAGAGTTTAAATATTTACTTCCAAGTAAAAAGTTGCTGGGGAGAGAGAGGTCACTGCTACAGAACCCTTGGTATTCATCAAAAAGTGGATGGATGCAAAAAAAGTATTAAAGGGGACCTATAATGCATTTCCCTTATCTTATGTCATATACATAATGCTGCAATGTCAGATGTCCATATTACACATGGCCTAAAATGTCCAATAATGAGGTTAACATATGTAAAAGTAATTCCTGTGAGACAGAAGCTGAGGTGTCAGACCGATTGCTTGCTTCGTGCTGTTTGTTCTACCTGTTCCAAGACCAGCACAGCTCCCTTTCCAAAAAAAGTCTACTTGAGTAGAATTAGAGATTTAATGTACTCCAGCATACAAACAAACGATTTGAGCTACTTAGTTTTAGTTTGCTTTGAGAACCTCCACATCAGTAAATGTATGAGGTGTTGTTCACAGGTGCTAGGTGTGCTACTCCTTGATGGGCTAATATGGCATGTTTCAATCAGCAGCTCACTGAGGTGCTGCAGAACTGGCAATCAGAGATAAATAAGGGCTTTTGATAAAAAACAAAGTTTGAAATGAGCACAATAGGTCCCCTTTAAAAATAAATTATATAAAGATACCAAATTTATATTTACAAATTTACATTAAAAAAGTAGTGGTTTATCCAACCCCATGATCTACTTCCTAACGAAGGAGGCATATCCTTTTTCAGTTTCATTTACTAAACCACGTTAAAGGTAAATAGATTTTTAAAAATCGACATGATTCGGGATGCATTTATCCATATCAGGTTTTCTATTCGATCTTAAAAAAAATGATGCTCATGTTTTCTCTGCAGATCAGAGATCACAGAGCATGTATTAGGAATTAACCCCATGTGCCCTCACATGTTGCTGTAAGGCATGCGCTTATGCAGACAGCAGTTCGGCATATAGAAGGCATAGCCCTATTGCTTTTTGAAACAGCAGAGGCAAGAAAAAAATTATTAAAGGCAAAGGTTTGAAATGTAAGCATGCTACCTCACCCCCACTTATTAAGAGTGAATGTGCTACAGTTTCATATTTAGAGATTAGACCATCTGAAAATGTTTGTCTCCATTATCTGCGAATATAGGAGAATTTGTAGACAACCTGCTGATAAAAGCATTAAAGCATATAATTTAGATCACTTTTTTTGGTTAATTGAAATGCTGGATGCTGTGTTGATTATTTCACCTAAAGAAAATGTTTCTTGAAATCTTTTTCACATTCAGAAAATTGTATTCTGTCCCCCAGATTGAGAGAATACATTATGCCAGGAGTCTCTGACCTTTAGCTCGCCACTGTTCCTTATCCGTGTCCTGCAGAGAGAGCTGGAGTTTTGTCCAGAGCTGTGGGTCTCTGCTGCTCAGAGCCTCCAGCAGCAGAGCCGTCTGCTCTTGAAGTTGTTGCAGCTGGCCTTGGGTGCGCTTATTCTCCTTCATGAGCTGCTTTGTGCGCATGGTGATCCCCAGCAAGCCAGACTTGTTGAGAATATTGTAGGTATTGCTGAAGCGTTTCAGTTTATCATTGTCCATTGAAAGGTCGTCCTGGTATTTGTCAGCATGGATCCCGTCGTTGTCCATCTCTGTCCTGAAGTCCTCTGTACAGGGGGGCAGAGTGCTGGTTTCTGCCAGCGGGTAGAGAGCGTTGTCAATAAGTTGCTCCTGACTCTCAGCTGCCTGTGTCGGAGTGTTTGCTGCTTCAGAGTTGGAGATGGGTTTGACAGGAGTCTGCAGTGGCAGCTGTAGGCTTGGGGAGCTGTGAGCCCTGTGGCTGTGGTGGTGCCTCCTCTGTCGCTGGTCATATTCTGATGTCGAACGTCCCCTCATCCTGGAGGATCCCACCCTTTTCGTGGGCACGTCTTTGGGGTGAGGGGCGATTCTAGGGTATGACTTGACAACAGGCATGTGGCCTTTTGATTGTCTGATATTTTCAGAGCAAGTCTTTGCAGAGCTGCTGCTGCCATTAGAAACCATGGGTTGGAGAAGAACCACCTGTGATTGAGGCATCACTTCCAAGGGTGAAGAAAAGCCCCACTGTTTTTCTGCTGGAGCCATCATGGATGGCTAGAGAAGAAAAATACTTTTATTTTATACTGTAACACTTTAACAGAGTACTCATTCAACACAAGAATCATAATTACAAGACACCTCAAATGAAATGCATTGTATTTATTAGTTAAAAGTAACTTATCCTTGAATTGACTCTGCTGTCACAACAAGTCATTTAACTTTATATAGAGAGAAAAAGCTCAAACAAGTCCCTTAAGTTACCAGAACAAACAATGACAAAGTAATGAAAAGAGAATTCGGGTTTACAAGCTAATTTAATGTGTGAAACACCTAAGTGTGTTTCAACCACAAACAATTAAGTGGAAATGCCAGAAATTAAATTTAAAATAAATGTTGAAAAATTACAAATAAAGTTTTAGGCTGAGGTAGAAAAGTGAATAATCAACAAAAAACGAATGCAACAAAGATAAGTAGTAACAAACTACTAATCTAATTATCATAACTTACACGAAGCATGGGACTTAAATATGTATTGATGCTCTGTTATGTTCAATTTATGCATAAATCAAACATAAATGCCACATTTTCTACATTGTTGTACTGTTTGAGGTTTGATTGGTGCACGTTTAACTGCATCATTTTAATTTAACCCTTTTCTATCGCAATGAATTTCAACTGGAAAATTAATGCCACTAGCTGTTAATCTTGACAAACCAACTCCTAATATTGTTGCTTCATTTGGCTGGAAAGTGAACTATTGACAGTCAGGGTGAACATTCAAACAAGCCCAATGTTAATAAGTCTGGAAAAACAGTCAAAATAAGCAAAAACTAATGACTGAATTTTACCTGATTTAGGACTAAGTTGTTCATGATGATCATTGGAGACATTCCAGCGTATGAGCCTCCCATCAGAGCCAACTGTGGACCCATTGGGTCCTGGCCGAACATGGACCCCGTCCTTCCTGCATCCTCAGTGTCGGTCAGCTCGACTGCACTGAGGTACTCAGAGCTAGCATCTGAGGAGGAGAAGACAAGCATATGGGTCTTAAGATGTTTAAAAGCAACAGATTTACCTTTCTCTTGTGTGCAGTAACTGAGACAGATCATTGATACAAGCTGTGGCAGCTATGAATGAGCACCCCTGAAGCATCTTGAAAAAAGATATCATTAACCTGATGAGGAGGATTAAACCAAATCCAGGGCAGCCTTCATAGCAGAAATAAAGGGCATCTGAAAAAAGGGCCCATTGGAGGATAGCCTACATAAAACAACGTGACCTAGATCCTCAGATTTGATTAGAGTTGACCTTGTTTATGTCTCAACTGACATTTCTTCTAATAAGGGAAAAGCTAACTATATACACTTACAGCAATTCATTACATGAAGCATTGACAATGTAATTGAAACAAACCTGAGAAGCCTGAATCTCTCTCCAGGTCAGGCTTTGACGTTCCAAGGTGTGTTGCCCTGGTGAACACTGGTGTCCCGTGTCTGCCAGGTCTACTAAAACGGCTCATGTTTGCCTTTTCTGGAAAAATGGAGGGTTAAAAATTGAGTTCGATTTTTTCTTCCCTTGAGTTAAAGATATAAAAATGGATAATAATATGTGTTTGACTGCATTCAGCACAGTCAAAGTAAAGAGACAGTCTATTATTTACACTGTTATTGTTTCTGTCTTCCTCTGTCACTGTGGAGTCTCCATTTATCAATCGATCAAATCTGTACTTACATAAATGATGTACAAGTAATTTGGTACTGACGGGTCAGTAGAACAGAGATGCTCCCTGATCAGTCTTCTTTACAAGTGAGAATACAATTAGAAACTCTAATTTTCTATAATGCAAGGCAATACACTGCCATATACTAATACACTATCCCTGATATGAATCCATATTTGTGGACAACAAGTATAGATTAGTAGATAGATAGTAGTAGACAGTAGCAGCTGCAATAAGACAGAATACTACAAGTTTGTAGTATTCTGTGTTATTGCTACTTCACATTAAGTTAAGCCTGTGTGTTGTGCTGATATTCATATATTGAATAAACTGATGTTTACTTAGTCCAGTTCAATCACATGGACCAGAACGAGGTAAAAACAACAACATAATAGTTGATCACAATCCAAATTTCATTACGATCATCATGGTTGTGAGGTTGATGTTTGAAGGCCTGCCCCTCCCTCCTGTCAGCTCGTCTGATTAAAATCTCATGAGATACTTTTCACCGTTCCCTGACACATCCTGTGTTTAATGTAACGTGGTAAAATACCTGAAGGGAAACAAACATCGTTAGCTCGGCAGTCTGAACCCAGCGCTGTTGTTAACATCGTACCGCAGCTAGCGCCGGTTGTTGATGTCACACGCAACTTTGACAACACTGACGTTAGCGAACTGTTTACAAAGCGCTTCCAATGACTTGCTAACTTGTTACCAAAAACTAAACTGAGGCAAATAACGAAATTTGAACCAGAGACATGCAACATGAACTACATCGACGTTAGCTGTTGTTTATTTCCACGAGTCTGTTCCCATGTTAACGATTAGCTCAGTTAGCTGCGCTAGCTTTAGCTTGGCAACTAGCTCCTCGCAGTGCTATCAATAACATATTCGGCTAATAGCATTATTTTTACAATCCTTACCGATGCGCAGTTTAGTGTAAAACATGAATCAGTTCGCACTGACTCCAGTAGAATAGTTTCCTGTCGTATGTTGTTGTTTAGCTAACGATAGCTAAGCCTTGTTGATGAGCCGTGCTCACATGAAATCCCCCAGTGAGGTCTCGCAGGCAACTGCAGTGTCCTCCGTCACGGTTTCGCTTTGGCATAATTGTCGCATGAGTAATCATGTTATTCATTCTTCACTTAAATGGTTTCATACACAGTCTAATAATCCGCTCATTGCATCATATTTTCCTCGGTGGTTTCCATAAATCAGTGAATGCCGGTCTCTCTGTTGGACCTTTAAGACAAAACTGAGGCCTGAATAACTCTGTGACTAGAAACAAGTTGCCAGGGAAACGAGTCACAGCCCTGCTGTGCTTTATTCCAGGAGCGGTGAGTGCGCCCCCTGCAGGTGTAGGAGACGACTCAACTTGTGGATATGTAGCTCTTTAAATAACACTTTTTAAATTCTCCTCGGTACAAATGATATGTCTCTTCTATAAAACACATATCTATATAATGAAAGGATTCTGTTTGTGATATTTTCTTTAACGATAACTCGATTAACTCTGAGATAGTTTGACTCATAAGTACTGTTTGGTCTGTTTTTAATCAAATAAATCACAGCAGACAACCTGGCAACCTTGACAATTTAATTACAAAATAAATATTCTAATGAAATAAAATGCTAAAACAGTAGAAATGTTACTTTGTACATTTTCATAGATTTTCTTTGTGAAGTACATGAAAAAAGGACATTGTTTTACAGAACTACTTAAATTGATCCCTTCCTTACTGCAGGGTTTCAAAAAAACAAACAAACAACACATATGGAGGAGGACACCTGTGCTGTGGGCTCATGTGGGTCTCGCGTCACTAGGGCCCACCCAGCAGACATGTTTATTTTTTAAATATATATAATCTTCAAAAACATTGTGATGTCATAAAAAACATAAGGTATCGAAATGAAATTCTGGGGTCTTATGAAGTGAACTGATTTCTCACATGGCCGAATCTCGTTCATTTCGAAGGCAGTTTGATTTACTACCCTGCTCACAATTAAGCAATAAAGAGAGGATTCAAAGAACAATTAGGATATTTGATAACTTGATATATTTTTCTCATACATAATCTTCTGCGGACATCGTCAGCTGATAAACCTTTCTGATAAATATCGCCCTTATTCTGGTGTGAATTGGCAGTTAAATACAAACAACTCATTTGTCGTCTCGTGACATGTAGAGGATTCATACAGAATCAATAATTATGGGATTGTGACTTAAATAACTGATAGATGATTGCTAATCATATGATGTAGTGATTGATTGTGACTGTCCTGTGTCTGATTATATTCATATATTTCACCTAAAAAAATAATTTCATATAGATCAGTTTTGATTTGATCAGTTTCCACAGACACTAGAGGGCGACATTTCATTATTACCTGTACAAAGCAGCTACACACTCAGTCCAACATCTGCAGTTTTGACAAGTCAAGGTGTCTTGGATAAAGTTTGAAGAAGGAATGACATACACTTTACATGTTGCTGGTCTAAATGAAATCGCCTGTATCAATAAATATAGATTTTAAAACTTAACCACCTTTAAATACAGAGGAATTCGACAAATTATAATAACTGATACGGTAAAAACTAGTGTGAAAGAAAAGGCATCAGTCGGTTTGATTCTACATTGCACTGGCTCCCAGGGATATCTGTTTGTGTCAGCAGTGTTTCCACCAACCAGAACATTCTTCCTTTTGAACCTTGTCATTACAAAACGCTCTGCCCGTCGTCAGAAGGGCACGTCAGCAAGAGGACCCAGCTCTCTGAGTCTCTGGCTGGACACAGTGTTGATAGATGAGCGGAGGAGACTCCTGATGCCGTCACTGGGCTGGAAATAAATAATGAGCCACACTGCAACAGGGGGTTGGGTCACCACTGCAGTTACCTGCGAGGGATCTGGCACCTAAAGGACACAAGAAGGGACAAAGGCTTTTTAATGCTGTTCATTGATGGTTAGAGGGAATTTGTATGATGTCTCTCAGGATCCTACAATCACCTGTCACATTCTTTTGATTTTTGTCGCTCCTTTCTCTTCCTTCCTTTTCCTTTTTGTCTTTTTCTACAACATGAACAAAAAGACCAGTGAGCCTCCTTTTAACTGAAATGGAAGAGTATTGAATAATCTGATAAATTGATGCTGTAAAAGTGTGTTCAGGTTCTTACCTCTCAACAATCACAACGGGTTTCCTGACTCTGAGGGACAAATGTTTCAATAAATTAGAGAGAATATCAAGGTGCAATATTAGTTAACAGCCATTGTAAGTATTTACCAACCCAGTCTCATAGAAAAGACATTTACTGTCTGTATTGTTATTGTTTTATTGTTGTTCTTTTATTTGTTCTGTTTTATTGCTGAGTATGATCTGGCTTTTCTATGATTTGCTAACTTATATTACATTTTGTGAGAAATAAAGTTTATTATTACTACTATTCCTATAATTATATACTCCAAATTATTTTCCCCATTCATGTGAAATGACACATAACAGATTGATTATGTTCACAAAAATGTGGCACTTGTCATGTATTTTCTTCACGAGAAAATATTTTCTCATGAAGTGTTAAATGCTTGTAGCACACACAGGCCACATGGAGGAGGGTGTGGTGGGTGGTGAACCCAGCGACTGAGGTCCTGGCAACAAAAGCAGTTTTTGTGAAAAATAAATGGTTGTGGTTTTAAATTCTAATTAAACAAACACATTCCATCTCATGCTTAAGGCCACTACTGAATTTGTCAGCTTTCTAAACCCGACAGCGTTTTTTTGCCGATGCTCAACCTGAATTATTATCATCTGTTGCTATAGGCACATATTGTAAGGATCTATTATCTGTCAAGTTTGACATGGACATATTGCAAATTGGCAGATGCACTTCTGAGAAACCTTTCCTCATCATGTTGATGTAACTCAGTGCTTTTCTGGTGTAAGTTAACAGTATAGGGGTTTGGTATTTGTATGCTTATAAATATTTCATGTCACTAACTTGTTTTCTTACCTACATTCACATGTCTGATGCTCCACGAACATCATCTGAACATATTCCTGACCCGGTTCTGATGGCCTGATTTTCAACAGCTGAGGGATAGAAGCGGTTACAGCATGTTCAGTGATGGATCACACAATTTAATAAGAGCAGTTATATCCAACCAGGCTATTTTCTTACCTCCATGGTGACGTTTGTGGTGCGGGTTGGATGACACTCCAGCTTCTCATCCCCGCAACAACCTGCACACCTCACCAGCGGCACGCAGGAGGGACTGTAGATGTGCTCCACCTCCATCGGATACTCCTGCACCACCTCCACCAGCTTCTCAATGGTCCGGCAGAAGCTGCGACTCCACACCTCTTGAAACATTATCACTGTGGATGAGAACAGGAGGCTGAGTGTGGCCCACTTTGGACTTACAACCCAATCAGCTTGTGTAGGACGATATATGTGTTGAGTGGAATATGGGAAGATAAGTGCTCAGTTTGTATAAGAGTAATATCGCCACCTATCTGTCTTTAGCAAGGTATTGTGTGTGTGTGTGTGTGTGTGTGTGTGTACAAAATAACCAATATCAAAAACACATGGATGGATTTTGACCAAAGCTTGGAAGAGTATTTCCAGATGATTAAGTTTTTGATTGGTCAAAGGTTAATGTCAAGGTCAACCAAAATATGGTCTGAAAAACATACATTCCAATATAACTCTATATAGATAACCATATTGATCAGATATAAAGTGATGTCCAAAAATTAAGTTGTGCGTAATCAAACGTCTGACGTATATATGCAACCTAAGAACCTAAATGTTGGGATGACATCAGTGTGAAATGGCATTATTACAATATAAAAGAGTTGCCAGGTTGTATATACAGTGTGAGCCGAAGGTATTCAACGCCCCTCTCATGGTTTACATTTTAATTTGTGTTTCAAGGTGTTTATGAAACTTGATTAAAGAAGAAAAAAACTTGGACTGCCCCTAAAAAAATCTAGGCTGTTGATGATACTGTATTTTACAAACAGTATCAGTCATTACCTGAATAATCCAACGCTGACATGCCCATAATATGCAGGGAAACCTTACATCAGTGTATCCTGTTTTCATTCTGAAGTGAAAATGTTTGTATAATGCACAGTACGCTTTCCTGTGGGAGTATATGTGTGAAAGTGTCCCAGTTGCACAGTCTGTGTGGGAGGAACAGAGACGACTACGGCCAAACAAACAGAGAAGGAAGAGAAAACAAACATTGGAAAACATGGCCATGAACAGAGCCCCGCTGGAGCTGGAGCTGAGCTACCCCGCAGGCACCTCTGGGACTGCACTGACCCCCGGGGTCACCGAATGGAGCCTGACACCACAACATCTGTTTATAAAAGCAGACAGGCTGGGAGGAGACGGTTGGGGGAAGCATCTACGGTAGGGAGACGAGGCCGTGAACCGTAATGTTGTACAGCGCCAAGGGCCATTTCTCTGGCCAGCCACTGCTCCTTGAGCTGACTGTATGTCTGCTGCGTCTCCTCTTAATCCTCTCTGGCTGCCAGTTCTACAAATCCTTAACACTGAATTTACTTCTCTTTTAGCAGCATTAAAGAATGTGTGTGATTTAAGGAGGTGGGAGGATATTACGGAAGAAAGTGAGCGATTGAGTAATCCCTGCTCGTCCCGACATGCCTTGCTAGTTCATTATCAATGCAAGGTTCACAAGCTTAGTTAATTGTATTTCTATATCAGTGCGTGACGAACTGGCAACCATCAGACTCCAGTTTCTACAACAAACCCAGTTAAAACGAAACAGTGGGAGCGACTATAGCTCAAAGTAACTTTTATCAACACTTGCTCTTATTGGATGATATTTCAGAAATAGAAATTCCTACCTTCAGTTGTACGGTTTATGCTCACCAAAGGTAGACTCTGCAAAACACACAAACAAGTGAGAATAAAGTTATTGATTATTCATTTGTGTTATAGAGGTCAGCATCTAAATTGAATGGAGACTAAAACAGACATAATAGCGACAAGTTATTGTCATTATATAATCGTCATCAATAGCAATTTACCAAATATATCAATATAATGCTCATACATTGTGTAATCACTGATCTTCCACAAGTTTTTAAAATGATTTTAAGAATGTATCATTCTCTTCTCACACAGAAAAGTTTAAAACCACAACCTTCACTCGGGAGCAAAACATTAAACTTAAAGAATAATAACAATGTGATATTTATTGTGATAATTATTGATTTCGACAGGTACATTTTTTTATTGTGATACAATTTGTGGCCTTATCGTCCAGTTCTAATGGAAAACATACAAATAAATGCAAGAGATGCTCACAATTTAAACTCTTTTCCCCTAACTGACACTTTTTAAACCTCAGCCTCAATTTAAAATACACATACCACCTCTAGTGGTGATTGCTGGAACTACAGTAAAAATAAAGAGGACGACGAGAACTTTTTGTTTCACCCTGTGGTGGAAAAGTCTTTCTGATGAGAAGCAGTTTCCGTCTGTCATATACATCACATTTTGTCCGTGTGCCCAAGTGTTTAGGTTCAAAACCTGTTTCCTGTGGTGTAAGATTCAGCTCTCTCTCTGTATTTATTTTCCCATTGATGGTTTCCTCTTCTGTCTTGGTTTTTTCCCATCCGCCCACAATAAACAAGAGTGCATTTCTCATTCGCCTGGGAAAACACAAAACCTCTCGCTGACTCCCGCCTCAGGAAGGGAAAAATCTGCATTCTAATAAAATGCCCTCCGGCAGATGCTGCAGGACGGGACGAGAGACCACCTGCTTCCTCATTGTCTTCCTCATCACTGGTGTTGCATGTCAGTGTTTCTGACATTCATACTTCAACACTGTCTATGTGAAACGCTGGGGCCCCAAACATGTTAGATAATCGACAGCAGACTGAGAAGGACTTCCAGATGATGGAAGTTGGAACTGTTGCTTCTTTCATTGCTGCACTGCATCCATTTCCTGTTATGAACCAAATTTAGGGTGAGGATAGCATCTGTCAGCACTGTACTACACTCAGCAGCCATCCCCCCACCCCTCCCACCCCCTTCAAACAATGTGATTAAAGAGGAACGTCCTGCTTTGATGAGGATGATGCACTCACACTCACACAAAACATTTCAGAGGTTCCTGTAAAACTGTCAGTGAGATATGTGTCATGCAGGTCTGGCTCTTTGGGAGTGATCTGTCTTCACTGCAGCGTGAGCACAGTGCCGCGTGAAAGACTTCATGTCAGTAGATACACAACAGCTTCCAGTCAGCCACTTAGGCTCAGTCCTCCCTGAGTTTTGGGGAACTGATGAGGCGCCTCCCTTCTTCTCCACAAAGCGGCTGCTCCTCCGGCCAAAACGTGCAGCTGTTCCACTGACAGTTGTTCTATAGGGTGGCGTTCACTGAACTGTGTTGGTTTTTACAACAGCACCGCAGGACATGAGCTCCACTTGCAGAATATTCTTTATGCGCAGCATGGGAAAGCCACAGTTTGGTTTTGGGTTATTGTCAAAAGTCACCTCCACTCTCTGGGGGCATTGATAATTATTTTTTTCATCCTCTGCAGCAATGCCAGGCTGATAAAATAAATCCTTTTCCAGTGTTAATGGGCATATGATCTTCCTCCCTCCCTCTCTCACTCTCTCTCTCTCTTCTTGTCTGTGGGTGTTTCATGAGACTGCTCCACATCACAAGGGCTTTTTGGCTCTGGGTCTGTGTTGCTGTCGAGAATGTGGTGAGGTGGGGGGTGAGGTTTCTGACCATGGTCATGGGTTAAGCCGTGACATGGTGAAAAAGCATCCTTGGCACCTCCCGTGGTCGAGAACAGAGGAGTAAGCTGGCCCTCAAGAAGCTGCCAGATTATAAGAGGCTGCATGAAGGTCCTCACGTAGTCATTCTTTCCTCCCTGTGCACTTACAGTATTCACTGTGTGATTAATGTTCACTGCTAGGTAATTAATCCCCTTGCGGAAAGGGAGAACTACTTTGATGCAATATGTGTATAAACTTGTCTAATAATCAGTTTCACTTCATTCTCTGGTGAGTTTTTACAGGAAGTTGGGTCTTACTATGTGTCATTATTATTTATTGTTTTCATAATGTGGGTATTTAGACAAAACAGAATAACTGTGAAAAAAGCCTTATGCAACCAAACTTGACTTCACCTGACCTGACTATAAATTCAGTCTTGGGAAATGAAATACTTCTATACTTCGTCTGCTGCACAAAATCTGGGGTTTGGAAACAACATCATTTCAAAAGTTACACTCCAATGCTCCAATGCTATCTAAAAACATCAAGGGGCAACAACAAAAGAAAAACAGCCCGTGCAACGATTACACAAAAGAAAAAATATCTTCACTGTGCTGAGATTTTAGTTTTTGATTTCCTGCACAATCAAACATGAAATATCTGGCTGAGGATGGTAGATTAAACTTCACAGGCCAGGTTAGGAAACACTCGAAAATAAGACCAGAATCCAGCTCTGGAGGGAAACAAAACTGTATTTGGTGACACCAACTGCGAAAAGAAAAAATCTTCTTTTACCCTGAAAAACAGCCTCAGCTCTTCGTGGCATGGATTTGACAAGATGCTGGAAACATTCCTTTGGGGATTCTGCTCCACATTGACATGACTGCATCCCAGCGTTTCTGCAAATCTGTCAGCTGCACATTCATGTTGTGAGTCTCTTCTTGCACCAAATCCCAAAGGTTCTGTGTTGGATTCAGTTATGCTGACTGTGGAGGTTACTGACGGTCACTGAACTCGTCACCGTGTTCATGAAACCAGTTTAAACCGAGATGTGTTATTGTGCTGAAAGTGAATAGTAGAAAATGGTGAACTGTGGCCATAAAGGGATGCGTACGGCAATAATGCACAGATAGGACGTTGTATTCATATGCTGATTGATTGGTATAAAGGATGCTTCATGACATTACATTACCAGCCCCATGATTCTGCACACAAGGCATGCTGGGTCCATGGATTTACCACTCCAGGGTACTTTTTCCACTCTTCACCTGTCCTGTCCTGGTGAACCTGTGTCCACTGCAGCTGCAGATTTCTGATCTTGGTTGACGAGAGTGGAACCTGATGATATAGTACATCTGCCTGAAGGTTTGATTCTGAGATGCTTCTCTGCTCACCACACTTGCACAGAGTTGTTGAAGTGTTTCCATCCACAAGGCTGCCGCTCACTCAGTGTTTTGGTTTTTTAAGTAAAAATTCCACGGAGATCAGCAATTTCAGAAATTCTCAAACGAACCAAAGTGGCAATCATGTAACACTGTGAACACTTTGTATCCACTCTTGATACGAATTTGATGTGAACACTGACTGAAGCTTATAAAGTGTAAATGAGTTAGTGTAGATGTAAAAGAGTAAAGAAGGGATAGATGAGTGAAATTCTTCTGTATAGTTAACATGTTTGAGGCTCATAACTGCTTCACTGATCAATGTCAAAGTTGGTATATAAATCAGAGGCTTGCAACAAACTCACTTTCATTTTCAAAAACTGTTTTGTTATGATTTCTGGATATTTTTTTAATACTGTAGAAAATGTCTATGTTATAATCCACAGACCAAAGATGGCACCTTAACAATGTTCACTGCTCTAAAAACAGATTTAAAATGTCAAAAAAGCTTTACTGTAACTGGCACTTGATCGTTTTCATCTAACTTAATCATTTAGAAAGATTACTCGTCTTTTCAGCACAGTTGAATCAGAAGATTCCTGTGTAAAAGTCTCACTGGATAATTAACATGTTGGATATGAAGTGAGCGTCATGGTCCCTCAGGCATCTTTGGTCACTGTACCATAGTTGAACAAGTTGTTTTCTTCTCAGGACAGCTGGTTCTCAGAGACCTGTGTATCTGTGCTGCCACTGATGGGCGAGGGGAAGTTTGTTGGAGCAGGAGAGATCAGACTAAAAGCACAGCAAGGAACGCTGGCATCGAGGATCCTCAACGCTTGACTGGAAAGTAGCTTTTAAAACTATAGTCCTCTATGTTTCTGAATGTTTGTGTGCTGCCGGCTGAGAGTTTGCTCCATTCTCTGGGTCAGATCAGAGGACCTGTTGTGTCCCTGGGCTCCTGCTGTCAGGCCACAGAGGCCCCAGGCCTTATTACTCTCCACTCCCACACAGCTGAACTGCGTCATCTTTAACCTCCTTGCTTAACTCCATCTGTCAGAGGAGGGGCAGTGTGCGCAGGGAGCAAAAATAAAACATGATGGGGACCCAGCGTAATGGTCATAAAAGGTTTTTCAACTTTGAGAGTCAAGCAGGGGCAGTGTATTTGTGTGTGTGGTGGGGTGGTTGGGGGGGGGGTCAATTTAACAGCAGGTACTATGGTCAGTTGCCAAAAAGATCTGGATACCAGCCAGTCTGCATATCCCACAGTGTAAAGCACTGCAAATCAAATGCAGAGAGGTTTCTTTGTGAGTTCAGCCTAAATAGATAGGACTCCTTCTCCTGGACGACTGGACTGGAAAATGATGTGAAACTAGATTCATTCATCCATGTTTCTCTTCTCTTTAGGACTGTAATACAATAACAGCAAAGGCAAAGCATGTCTTGTCTCCAAGTGAGATGAAATATGAAGAACAGAAACCTCTGATTTCAAAATATGCTCCATTATTGAATAATACATTTCATTCATAGGTTGGTGATGTGACTTCATATAACAAACTGGAAGGGCACTCAAGAGAACGTACACCTCCAGGGTCCAACAGTAACATCAAGTTTTTTTTCCCATCACAATCCATGAATTATTCCCTGAGAAAAAAAGGAAAATTTGAAAAACGCCATATCTCACAATATTAAAGAAAGTGAAAGAATCCAGATCTGCCCACTGAGTAGGATCACCAAGATATAATGGTTAATCCCCCGACTAATACCTCATCC